CTGCACATTTGTGCAAAGTTCTATGTCGAAAACAAACAGACAGACAGCTAGTCGACATCCAAGAGACACTACTTTAACATTTCATCTTTCAACTCCTAAGTCCTCCTTTTATTACCCACCTTGTATTCTTTGTCAAAGCATAATTATATATATATATATATATATATATATATATATATATATATATATATATATATATAACCACAAATCGCACTCGTTCAATGGGACAAAAACAGCACACACACACAATAGGTGCACACGCCTATGTATTAAATTATCTGACCACTTTTATTATCATTATAATTATTATTATCATTGCGCTTCGAATTACACAAAGATCAAAACAAAGAGAAGAAATGTTTGTTTTTTATGGTAATAATAAGAAGTAACCAATAGAAGGAGAAGAAGAACTACAAGTTATGAGATCCCTCGGCGCCATTTGGGACATAATTAAAAGACCGGTTCATCAATTCATGCTTTTTAGCGCGACTGTCAACCAGTGTGTAAAGGACAAACAAAATCTATTCGTAGTGCTATTCTATCTCTCTCTCTCATCTTGTGGATACACACAGAACACAAGATTGATGTCAACGAGGCAGCTTTCAAAGTCATTATTTACTGCATACCAATACAGGACTGGACTACATCGACGCCTAGTTTAAAAATAGGAAATGAAGTGGTAGAGCACGTTGACCGCTTCACTTATTTGGGAAGTACCATCAGCCCCAACGGGCTGATCTCTGACGAAATCTCAGCACGAATACAAGGAGCTCGTTTCGCATTTGCCAGTTTACGCAGACTCTGGCGTAGACGAGATTATTTTTTTTATTTTTGATTACAGCTTGATTCCACACTGTATTTTTGGTACAAGTGTGGAATTTTCAGCGTGGATATCGGTAGCCCAAAATTCGCAGGCCGACCATAGATATCAGGTGTGTGTCGGCGTGGGCTCGAACCCCGGACCATGTGCATGGTCGGCGAGAGTCCTAACCACTGTGCCACCGAGATGTTCGACTATCGACCAAAGGGCGGGTGTACTGCTCATCAGTCCGCTCCGTCCTCCTTTATGGTTGTGAGACCTGGCCACTGAGAGTGGAAGACATGAAAAGACTAGCTGTCTTTGATCATAGGTGCCTGCGCTCTATTTCCCGTGTAAAGTGGCATAATAAGGTGTGCAACACGGAGGTTAGGCGTCGAGTTCTAGGTAAACAGGGGAAATCAATCGACAAAGTCGTGAAGTTACAAAGACTGAGATGGTTAGGACATGTGTTACGTATGCCAAGCCATCGCCTCCCTCGACAATGAGCAATGTTAGCGGATATAGGGTCAGGCTGGAAAAAAGCTAGCGGCGGTCAAACAAAAACTTGGCCTCATCAGTCAATGAAATCCACAACAGTTGGTCTAAGCCACGTAGAAAGGTGTAGACTTCCCAACTGGTTGGGGTCCTCGGGACGGTAAAAACCAATGAAGGTTGGAAACAATTGGTGACATGGCTCAAAACCGTTCTCAGTGGCTAGTGCAGATGCATCCACTCCCTGTGACTTATGATCTTCAATGAAACTGTTTTGTATTTCTTTATTACTCCTTTGTCTCACACCTCTGCTCACTGTTTCTATTATGCTTTTCTTGTACTTTCTTCTCTTGCTTCGCGTGCTACACGGAATGTGGCGACTTGAACTTCCGCACATTTGTGCAAAGTTCTATGTCGAAAACAGACAGACAGGCATACCAATACATCTCAATTTCGTCTTAAGAGTTTGTTTACTGAATATTGCTGAAACTGGCTGTTGGGATCCACATTAAGAAACCTAATTTATACATCCAAAAGAAGCTAGTTCAGACATTGTCCTTACCCACTTGGCCATCTAGGTTTCAATGATCCTTAATTTATTATTGTAGAAATTTCCTTAATTTTAGTTGATGTTCTATTTGTTACTATATCTTTATTACTGTTATAACTTAAGCATCTTCAATGAACTGTAATTGCATTGATCTTACTTTACGAATCGGTATTATTTAGAAAACACTAATATTGTTATTGACTACTAATCTAGAATATTCTACGTAAACAAGCATATACAAATATAACTGTATGGAGAATTTCATCATGAGCCGACATCAGTTGGAGAACCACTGGAAAACCTGGGAGTACTGGACAGTTGTTTCGTTAATCTGATGCTCACTAGCAACTGGCCCTATTCACCAGGCAGTTAACCTGGGGTTCTAATGGGTAGCCGTGACCAGTAGGGTACAGTAGGTTGAAGACGAGGCAGTAACTCATCGAAGAAGACATTGCGAAATAGGTCGCGCTGTGTCGTGAATTAGCAGAAGTTAGAATTGAAGAACCGTTGGATTGGATCCCAGTGGCTCAATAGTCAACGAGCTCGACTTGTAACCAGAAAAGATCCTGGGTTCGAACCCTGACGGTGGCTGCGTACTGTTGAAGAGTCCCAAACTAAGCTGAGTAAACAGCTGTCCAGTATTCCCTGCAGGTTTTCCAGTGGTTCTCTAACTGATGTCAACTCGTGACAAAATCCTCCATACAATCAAACAAAATCCCTGCAAACAGCAATACTTGACAAATATAATTGTAGAGCCAAAAGAGAAATTTATCGAAAAGGATATTCTTTGCTCGGTCAATTATTTTGTGTTTTATCAATTTGTATCCATCGGCGAGGGTTTTTTTCTCTAACAGTGAACTTAATGATGAACCTCACTGGTCACAACTTTATCCTGAGTGTTAAATCGATTTGAAGAAGTGTAGATCGCAATCCAGCATCATGGGATATTGGTAGTCGACATCCAAGAGACACTACTTTAACATTTCGTCATTCAACTGCTAACTTCTCTTTTTTGTTATATATTGGTATTACTCACACCTTATATTCTTTGTCAAAGGGCAAATCGCACTCGTTCAATAGGATTAAAACACCACACACACACACACACAGTACATGCACGCGCCTATGTATTAAATTATCTGACCACTTTTATTATTTTTATTATTATAATTATTGTTATCATTGCGCTTCGAATTACACAAAGATCAAAACAAAGAGAAGAAATGTTTGTTTTTTATGGTAATAATAAGAAGTAACCAATAGAAGGAGAAGAAGAAGAACACTGAATACGAAGAAGACAACTGATGAACGAGAGTAAATCACAGTAAGTGTGTCAGTAGAATCCGTGTTTGTATATATACGGATAGTTCTGCTAAAAAGAAATTCGAATGTTGTTCCCTTCCTCCGTCACCTCCTCCTCTTCCTAGTCGTCGTCGTCCAAGTCTGCTAACTGATGGACCGGTCACTCGATCGATCGATGGATCAATAATTTTTATTGTTGTCGTTGCGTGTGTGAGAGAGAGAGGAAGAGTGTGTCAAAGAAGAAATTACATACAAGTTCCTTTATCAATCATTATCGTCCTCATTAATCAATCAGGCAAAAAGGAGGAAGAACTCAAAAACCGCCAAGAAAACAAAAATAAATTCACAGTGGAATGATCGAGCATATGCTCAAACACACACACACGCACACACACACAAAAAGCATACATAAAGAGTGTTTGTGTGTGTATGGTGTGTAGGAGAAAGAGAGAAGGAGGTACATCTACATAAATATGACATTTCTGAGATTACTCTTACCACTAAATATTCTTATTAAATAAAACGGAAGAAATATTGGCATCATTAATTAGACGTCGGAGGGGGAGGGAGGGAGGTAAGGTAACAATTACTACTTGTGAGCATCAAATAATAATAGTAATAACAATAATAATAACGATGATAATATGTTTGAATGATGTAACAGAATTCCATCATTTGTCATAATTGTAATAGTAATAATGATTATAATAATAACAATAAGAGTTAGTTAGTTATTTAGTGTGAGTCAGTGTGTGTGTGTGTGTGTGAGTGTAGGTAGTATCGTGTGGAAGAAGGCCAATAATAATAATAATAATAACAATAACGGGAAAGAAAGTGTGATCACCATTCATTGTTGGCATTTTCTAATCAAAATAGACACTATATCATAGTACGTATATATTATTGTTGTTATTATTATTATAACATTATATTGTACTAATTGGATAAGATATTATGGAATAGGGAGAGAACACAATGGGAGGGATGGTAAATAAACAAACGGAGAGATAATAAGAAAAAAGTATGTGTGTGTATTTATGGGGAGGGAGGGTGAGAGGGATATTTGATTGGTTAAAGCCATGTGGCCTGGCATGCTATACTATCATCGCTATTATACTGGGGTAGCGATAGTTAGTAGTGGTTTACGCGCGTTGAGTTGAGTTGAATTCAGATACAACCGCATACACAAGCAGATCGTGAATGAATGCGGGGTGGTGGCAAAAAGATGAACAAACCTCAAGATACATATAGATGAGTAGTAGATAGGAGGGGGGGGTAAGGTGTAGAGGAGAGAATGAGAGTAGTTACCGGCTTGTTATGTGTTGTGTAGTTAGTGGTCTTGGTAATACCTTTATCCATCACACTGTAAAATAATAAGAATTCTAATGAGGAAGGCGGAGGTTCAGGGTGGCTGGGTGGTGTAGTGTGGACGGGGAACACAACGCGAAACAATTCATTGTGGTTGTTTGTCCTGTGGACGACGGCGTCCACAAAAATAGTAAATCACTTAAGTTGAAGTTGACACACTTAACTTATAACACAAAATAATGCGGAGTTGATGGAATGTGTAGAAATAATATCAGAGATTCGAATAGAGGGGGTGGGGAGAAGAGATACACACAAAAGAGGGAGATCCATGCTGATTCATGCTGGAACTCAAGAGTTGAATTAATTTTTTAATGTGTACACACGCAATTTGGTTAATGATAATAAATGTTGGCAACAAAAAGAAAGAAAAAAGAGTTATACAAGAGATAAGAGAATGAGGAAATTGATGTGTTCTGTATATGTATATATATACTCACGCTAACTGACGACAGATTAACTGATTTATCGATTGATTGATTGATTTATCGATTAAGGTAGTGGATTGATAACTTCAACATAATTCACTGGAAAATAACCTTTACGACCGTTTAATTCACCTTCAAACCAATTTTCATCGACACGTAGTATTAGACTGATAATATCACCTTCTGAGAAGGGTAGTTCCGAATCATTTTCAGCTTCAAAATCGAACAACGCTCTACACGATGGTCCCAACACTATTTGTAGAAAAAGAGACAGACAGAAAGAAGGGGGAAGAGAATTACAGTTACATATTTGGTAAAGAAAAAGCATAAACTATCAGGCAATTATTATTATTATTCAAGTATTGGTTTGTAGAGATTTGATCGACTGGTTACAGGATTTCATCATGAGCTGAAATTGGTTAGATAATCATTGGAAAACCAGCTGGGGAGTACTGGACAACTGTTTGGTCCCACTAGTTTAGGACTCTTCACAGTACGCATCCAGGCCCTTCCGGTTACAAGGCGAGCTCGTTACCTGGGTCCTAGTGAGAAGTGGTATTCAATAGGGTTGAAGGTGAGGCAGTAACTCATCGAAGAAAATATTGGTAAGTGGTCGCGCCATGTCGTGAATTGGCAGAAGTTAGAATTCATATGCCATTGGATCGGGTCCCAATGCCTTAATGGTCTACGTGCTAGCTCTCCTTGTAACCAGAAGGTCCTGGGTTCGAACTGTGGCGGCGGGTGAGTACTGATGAAGAATCCCAAACAAGGCTGACGAAACAAGCTGTCCAATACTCCAAAGGTAATTTTCCAGTGTTTCTCTAACCAACGTCGGCTCATGATGAAATCCTGTCACCAATCAGTATTGTATTTTTTATTTATTGTATTGGTATTTATAGGCACCAAAAGATGCGCCATATCAAATCTCATACGTCGGTCTGCTTAAAACTTCGGTGGGAGGGTGGGGCGAGCGGTGGTTGCCGAAAACCTGCATCAATCAAACAATGTACTGCATATTAATTTCTCTTATTGAATTTGTTTAAATCTAGTAAAACTATGACCTCTGGCGGTATTATTTGCTCTGGCGAGTATTTCAAAAGTTTGCAACCTATTGGGTCGCATTATCACACACGGTCTACTGTCGTCAACTAATCTTTCATTTGAAGATCCTAGACGAAGCGAAGGCATCATGCAATGAACTCTGGTGGAAATTCTGTACACTATAAAAACACTTCACAATAAAGCTTTTATTTGAATAAAGGAACAACAGGTTTGCAGAATAAAACAGTACCAACATTTATTTCGTTGCTTTCTCATCAGCTGCTTACAGACCACAGTCATTATTAAGTATATCTACAGAAACAATTTTTAACATACTTGCACAGTGAGTTCATTTAAAAAAAAAACCAATCGGTCAATATATGCATACAGCAATAATATATGTATAATAATATTAAACACTATTCCGAACAATAATGATCATACATAATGGAAACTTTTCAGCATTACGTAATCTGATAAAAGAGAGATGGGAATATCCAGTTACCAGGGCACGGAAATTGCTTCTTTCTGACTGCGTAAATTGGGTTTCAGGCGCTTGATGGAAATGGCTTCAGCAAACTTGAGGAGAATTGAACTTGTTTGCCTATTGATAATTTTGAACGATCTTTCGACGTCCACCTCATGCATGACGCCAGTCAAGAAGATGCTTGGCGATGGCACTGTTTAAAGCACTTGTTCCCTCTAGACATAAGCTTTATGGTATATGAATCAGCTTTGCTCATATTTTCTCACGGCCACCTCTCACCATACTCGTCCCCCTGTCAAATACGTGCGACTGAAGTCGGCTTGATCTACTTGGTGCAGGCGTCATCGTTGGCTTGTCTCGCTGTATCCATTTCTGAAGCTCGCTGACGTTCACGCGCCTCTCATTGTTCGCCATTGCGATTGTGTCTGCGTAACCCCATCTCGAAGTGACCATATGTGGTCCTTCCCACTTTGGAAACTGTTTGCCTGACCCTGTCGAACATTCGTCGGTATTTCGTCTCACACTTTCATATGCTGCTTTCGCCCGACCTCCCAGCAGCGTCCCAAGTAGCAGCTCCATCGCTGGCAGATCTTGAACGCCACTCAACTGCGCAGAAGCCTTGAAGTCCTGTCCGAAGATCCATATGTCTCCGTCAAAAACTGCAGGGCATAGGCTTTCCATTTGTCGGTAGGCAGCGACACCAAATGTAACAACAGAAGACAAGAGCCAGGCAACAGATCCTTTATTACGAAAATCAACACGTATTTATATATATTTCACATACATTATTATAGCTTATGCAAGTAGACAAACGCAGTCTTCTGATTGGTTGTTTATCAGAAGTTAAGCAGACAAACGCAGGCTTCTGATTGGTTGTTTCGGGATTCCTCGAAAAATAGATTTCTCTATCTGCGAATGATATTTTGCCACGTTAAGTCTGCTGTGATTGGTTGTTGAATCAGCCTTGTACATATTTTCTCACGGCCACCTCTAACCATATATATATATATATATATTATTTTGAATTTGGTACAGTGGTGTACCAAGTTGAGCTACTGCACCTCTATGCGGTCTTCTCCACTGGAACTCAGTCAGTTGATCAAGTGCAGGAAACTATAAACATATATGTTATCTGGACTCACTGACTGACTGGTTCCAATGTAGACACTAGAAAAACTTTGCACACAGATGTACAACAGTTCAAGTTGCTACACTCCACTCCATGTAGCATACAAAGCAAGAGAAGACAGTAAAGGGAGATTCAAAACAGAAGTATGACTGAGGGAAAAAAAGAATAGTAATATGGAAGAACAATAAAATTTTGAAATAACAGAGAAGATTTATAGCTCCGGTGGATGATTTGCAATTAGCTGTATTCTCTAAGGAGGAACTGGTTGATTTAATTGCGAAGATTTCGTCATTTCTCTGGATAACGTCTTCAGCCAGCGCTGGTTTTAGTATGTGAAATGAACTTATCTGAATTCTCCATGAATGAATGATATATATTTGTGTCTCCTGGGGAAATCCATCTTTGTGACTGGTAGTTGATTTACCAGTAAATTATCACATGTGACAAGAAAGTTCAAATTCTAAATCAATAAAAATATGATCAATAGAGATATAAATCAACTGTCAGTCACGATGATGGTTGCCAGGAGATACAATTATATCATTCAATCATGGAGAATTCAAATGAGTTCATTTCACGCACTGAAACCTACGCTGGCTGAAGATCTTATCCAGAAAGATGACGAAAGCTTCACAATTAAATCAACCAGATCCTCCTCAGAGAACACAACTAATTAAAAATAGAATTTTATTGGATATTGTAAATCACAAAGAGTGAATGCATTCTGCGCTATTTTTCTGATTTCAGATAGTGGAAAACACCCATAAGGACATTAGAAAGAAGAGAACACGAATTTCAGCAAATACAACTGTCTTTTCGGTGATTTCATTTTTAAAAGCAGCTCTACAATCGCGTTTAAATACATAATTTTACATGGATACAATTCCATGTTTGATTCCACATAATTGCGACGGTGAATAAAAGGTGATAATTATTTTCAACTAGATGTGGTTTACGAGAGGCTTAGAAACAAAATTAACACAGGATGAGAACGTTCAATACTTCGAAACAACGCTAAGAACAAACTCTCGCATATGACTAATTCAATGTGCATATACCAGTTCACTTGCTCGTGCGGAGCTAGGTACATAGGTCGTTGTATACGCGTCCTTTCAAAACGTACTAGACAACATTACCCAGTGTGGCTGCAAAGAGGAGGCACCGGTTCACAATCAGAAGTGCTGTTATTGAACATCTGATCAACACCTCCCACAACATCTCAACTGACTCTTTCAAAGTAATTTACAAAGTCAACAGAAACCTACCAAAAGCAGTATGTTTCCGACTTCTCTGTACTGCAGAAGCCCTTGCAATTATGTGGAATCAAACATGGAATTGTATCCATGTAAAATAATGTATTTAAATGCGATTGTACAGCTACTTTTGAAAATGAAATCACTGAAAAGACAGTTGTCTTTGCTGAACTTCGTGTTCTCTTCTTTCTAATTTTTCTGATTAATTGAGTTGACAAGTTCTTTCTTAGTTTTAAGGGTGTGTTGGGGTGATATCAAATTTATGTCGGACAAAAAACAAGATAATCTTGAATGTAGGAGACCACCAAGTGTACAGTTGTATAAAAAAAATATCAAACGTCGACTGAAATTTGATATAAACTTTTAGTATGTTTTATATTGTTGAACAGGTAAAATTCGTTTGTCTTGCTATAATTCTGTGCAAATAGCGTGACATTACAACAAAATGTTGAGACGATGTGGCTTATTGGTTGGACTGTTCAACTTTCCACCAATCTGTGCCTCGTTGGAATCAATCTTGCCTCACCTATTTCCAAGCTTGACCCACTTTTGAGTAGGGTGTTTCGGTTATCACAGCTCTTTCACACAATCAGCGTCTGGTACTGTACACGTGATTGGAGGATTAACAGAGTAAACTAACTTAATAATATATTGTGCGATGACACAACATGAGATTATTAGAATGAAAAGTTGCAGCACGAACTGATTGCTTGATTGACTGTGATTGATATCAGTTTGGGCAACTATTATGAAATCAACCAGGGAGTCTTGGATAGCTAGCTGTTTCGTCCTGCTTTGAGAAACTTCAGTGGTATGCACGCATCTATGTCCTCAAAGATGATTGGATCTTTATTCTTCTTCTTCTTCTATTCCTTCACATTCCCAGTGGAACATAGGGCTTCAAGCTAGTGGCTTGAAGTTTCTGTAGCAGTGTTTACTTTTTTTTACAGGATGGGGTTGCTAGCCTCATGCCCAACCTTTCCCTTTTACCAGCTTTTTGTTTCTATCTTAGCGAGGTAAAGGAGTGCGTCAGCCTGAAATCGAACCCCGGACTATGTGTATGGTCGGCGAGCGTCCTAACCGCTGTGCCACCGACCCTAAAAACTAGCTCGTAAACCATTCAGACAAACTCGAACGAAAGCCAAAGCCCACCATCCCCCTCCGGTGAAATGAAACTTCTGCAAATCTGTGAGACAACAGTGCTACTGTCAAACCAAACCTTAATGGTTCTCTCGCTGAGAAGTCAATTTGTAGCTAAATTTGAAAACATATTCAAATGCCTGCAAACTAACACTTGAAAATCATTAGAATAAGCTGTTGCAATAAGAGCGACTACACCAGAACATTGTATCCAAAAAGAACACATCCAGACGCTTTTCCTACCGTGGCCAAACTTGGATTGATGATTCTTCTTCTTCTCACCAAGAGTGCTTCTTCCCCTAGACCTAGACCCTCTTGGTGTTTTTTCTCCTTGCTTATTATGACAAACATTATTATTACAATTATTATTATTTATGCCCTTTATGCAAACATTCCCTCAATACTATCGAATTTTTCATTTATATTATCCGGACTTATTATTAGTGATATTATCTGTTTTCTCAATATATGCCTCCACCTGTTGCATTTCACACATTCGTTATCTCATTATGAACTTCTCATTCCAGTCTTACTATCTCCTGTTGAACTCAGACCACTTTGTACTAGACACTCACCTGACACCTTTTATAACCTTGAACTGATTTGTCAATTCTCCTACCCCACACTCTACAATTCCATTGTGACGACTAATCACCATCATTGTCTCCCAATTCACCGAAATATTTTGTAATCGATTTCAGTCAGCCCAGAGCACGAATTTTGTCACACAAATACGACTATTTATTTTGACACCCCATAAATAACTAATCTGTTGTTATTCTGCGTTAAAAATGTATCCACCGCATCACTAAGTGGTCATTATTGTAACGTCAACAAATATTGCATATTTTATAATTGTAAGAACCCGAAGAGGAGAAATTATTGAAAAGAATATTCTTCCTCGTTCAGATTGACTTTTAACTCTAGATATCTTGTTTAGTTTCCCCTAATGATTACAGGTGTTAATTGCCTAAGTTTCATAGACTTACTCTACTTACAAGCTTTTCAAAATCACTGCCATGTGTCTTTGTGTATGTTAAGTTCCCCTGGATCATTATTCTCTTTCACTTGACGGCCAAAATTAATCTCATTTGACTACGGTGGTCAGTAGTTGTTTGAATCGGATTTTCAGGTATTGGTTTTTGTAGGGATTCCTTTTGTTTGATTGCATGGAGGATTTTATTATGAGCAGACATCAGTTAGAGCACTATTGGAAAACCTGCAGGGAGTACTGGACAGATGTTTTGTCCTAGTTTGGGACTCTTCATCAGTACGAACCCACCACCAAGGACCTTCTGGTTACAAGGCGAGCTAGCAGACCATTGAGCAAATGGGACCCAATCCAGTGGCCAGCCCTTGAATTCTAACTTCTGCAAATTCATGACATAGCGCGACCATAGCGCGCAGTGTCTTCTTCGATGAGTCACTGTCTCATCTTCAACCTGCTGTACCCTACTAGTCACGGCTTCTCACTAGAACCCCAGGTTAACTGCCTGATGAATGGGGCCAGTCGCTAGTGAGCATCAGATGAATTTTCAGGTATTGGTTTTGTAGGGATCACTTTTGTTTGATTGCATAGAGGATTTCATCATGAGCTGACAACATTAGCTAGAGAACCATTGGAAAACCAGCTGGGGGGTACTGGACAGCTGTTTCGTCCTAACACTTTGACGACGACGATGATAAATATTACAGCTGTTCTCATTTCTCTGAAATGAAATGTTTGTTTGTACATTGTGAGATGAATCTTGCTCACACATCACAATATAGTAAGTAAGTCTTTCTGCATTTCTGTGAATGACATTCCTTCTTATCGTCATCAATGAGAAGAGACACACGTACACACTCACAAACACACACACTAGCCTAACAGAAATAGAGAGAGAGAGAAGCGAAATCCCTATAATGCCAATACATGTGTGAGATCGATAATATATTGCCTATATCTATTTTTGTATATAATTCAAATACTTAAGCAAAATCACTGACCAATCAGAGAACAGTTAAAGGATAGTGGTTGAGGAAGAGAGAGAGAGAGTTAGGAAAGTGACTGTTATCACTTCTACTATTATTATCACTATTACTCCTCTTTCAGAGTCATACATAAAGGCTGACTGACAGACATGCTAAAATGACAAGAATATGTGTGGGCGGAGAGTTCTCTCCTCCTCTTCTTTCTCTCTAACTCTTTAAGAGAAGAGAAGAAAATAGAAGCAAAAGAATGAAGAAAATATTGGATAGGCTAGAAAAATCAATGATGAATAGAATGTATTGATTTTTTTCTCCTGTTGTTGTAAAACAGCTCTAATACTATTTACTATGACTATTATTACTACCACTCCTTTCTTTATATTTCACTTTCTGTATGCATTTGAAGGACAGTATTCAAGGTTTTATTTTAACATCAAAAATTTAGCTGAAATTCACTTAAATTCTTATCATACTCTCTCTCTCACACACACACACAGAAAAGAAGACAGAAACAACACAGCAGTCAGTTATTGTAAAATTGATGGTGAACTGAATAACTTTACACGAGTTGGTTTGTAAGGATTAAATTTGTTCTTTAACGAGTTTGACCACGGATTGATCTGATGATGCTTGCTTGCTACAGAATGAAGTTTCCTGGAGTTTTAGTGAGAAGTCGTGACCAGTGAGGTCCATCTAGACGTCAAGTGTGAGGATGAATTTCCCACCGATGACATTGGTTGGTGTCAGTTGCGCTAAATATATCACGAATTGGTAGAATTGGAATTCATGCGTTAGTCATTGAATCGGGACCCAGTGACTGAATGGTATGCGTGCCAGCTTGACTTGTAACCGGAAGATCCTGGGTTCGAACCCCGACCGATGATTCCCAAGCTAGGATGAAACAGCTGTCCAGTACTTTCTGGTTTTCAATGGTTCTATGGCTGATATCAATCCGTGGTCAAACTTGTGAATAACTTTAGCTAGAGAACCGTTGGAAACCAAGCAAAGGAGTGCTGGCCATCTAGCTGTACAAACACACACACACCCATTCGACCCTACCAAGGATCGATCCCAGGGCTTGACGATTCCAGCACAAGTGACTAACTGAACGATCGTCATCACTGAACTCGCCTTGTAACCTGAAGATTCTGACTGAGTGCTGATGAAGAGTCTCAAACATATGCAAAACAGATGTCCAGTACTCCCTTGCTAGTGGTTTTCACTGGTTCCCTGTAAATGAGGTCGGTTTGTGATCAATCTTTACAACAACAAAAAAAAACAGTCAACACAAACAACAGTATCCTCGACACTTGGAAATCGTTACATAGTGTTAATCAAGTACATAAAGTTGTACAACTTACCAGGTATATCTTTAGCAGTATGCGGATTAGGACCATTTTTCGCTGGTGTACTAAGTGCACTATTCAATGGACTTTTACCACCTGTATCATGATTTAATGTTCCTGAAACACGTTTCGGTTCATGGGATTTACGTGGTTTTGTATTGGTTTCATCTTTCCTATGAATAGATTGGAAATAATAATAATAATAATATATGTACAAGAGAACATTATAAAAATAGATAGATGAATGTGGTGGTGGGTAGGGAAAGTGATGTGGAGAGGTTAATCTTTATGATGTTTATTCGCAAAGCTTTCATCGTCCTACTAGGTAACATCTTCAGAGCATACTTTAATTTGAATTGAAGTGAGCTTTAAGATTTCTCCACGAGTTTATTAGTCATCTCTCCTGGTGACTTTGAACGTCGTGACTGGTTGTTTTCGTGTGTTTACACACCCTCTAGGCTACTTGTATTGGTATTGGTGTTGATTATTTCCTTGACCTGAAGTTTAACCATTTGTGTGTGAGATTTCCTTCTTATGGATTGGAAGATTTTGTCTATCCCGATGTGTCTGTTGAGTGACGATTTACTGGAATACCAGGCTGGCTTCTAAAAATCCCCTGGCATTCCTAGTGTTTTCTCCGCCTAATACTTAAACGTTAGTTGTCCCAGTCGACTTAATGTCGGTAGTTGTCTGTATGCAGTGATGTGAGGAAGTGAATGTCATGTCTTTTGACGGCTAATTTATGTTCATGGATACGAAGACGAAGAGGACGTCGTTCACTTTGACCAATGTAACCTTTCTCGTAATCGTTTCAATTTATCTTCTAGATGATGTTGGTTTCATCTTCTTTCGTTGACATAGATTTCAATTCAAATTGAAGCATGCGCTAAAGATGTTTGTTGCATAGTACGATGGGGGCAATGAAAGCTTAGCAACTATAAACCATCCAGTTAGCTCAGAGAACATAACTACATGAAAATCATCCACACCTGAGCTACATATCTTCTAAATCATACCTGGAGGTCAATCTTTCTCTCTCTCTCTCGCCTGAAATGAGCAGTAGTCATAATTCAGATGGATATGAGAGCACAATGTCACAGTTAAGCCTAGGGTGCAATTAAGATACCTTGAAAGTAAAAACTCTGACACCAAGTACAATGTGTCTTAGTGATTACATCACCTGTTGTTAAACTGATACGTGGCTCTTTGTTTTTCACACGTTTCACTCGTATAGTTAGTTTTATTTATTCCTTTGCGTTTCCAATGGAACATAGGGGCTTTAAACTAGAGGCTTGAAGTTTCGGTGGCAGTGACGTTTATTTATTTTTATGAAATGAGATTGCTAGCCAGCATCATGCCCAACCTCCCTCTTTGCCGGCCTTTCAAAAGCAGGCAACAAGAAAATTTGTATAGGAAAAGCATATGGGCATTTTCATAGCTTCGCTCCTCTCAAGGACAAAAGAAATTTAGTGAAGACCCTCACTCGGCGGCCACAGAGTTAGAGCTATATGCTCAGAAGAAGTAATTGAAGATGAATTAAGCATTGTATATGATACTTTGATCGAAAATAGCTATCCCGAGAAATTTATCGAAAAAGACATGAGAAAAGAAAGCGGAAAAGAACTACTCACTATCCATAAACAAGAAGCCTTTATATGCATGACTACGATTCAAGGAAGATACACCAAGTGAGATAATTACGAAGAAATTAAGAAAATCAGTTCAAAGAACTACACATCTTATTCTCTAAATGACCAATGGTGATTCCTCGACTGAAAGATGAAGTATCTAGACTACTAGCCACGTTTAATTCTATCTACCAATTCAGCTGGGCCTTCGGAGTGAGTTACATTGGCAGTTGCTCTAGGAACTTGATTTTTCGTACTCGGGAACACTTATCAGCGTGGTTAAATAAAGGCGTAGGAAAAAACATTAACAGTTCGATATTAAACTATCTGATCCAAACCAACCGGCCACAAAGCCAGCCAGCATTGAAGAATCCTTCTCCATCATCTACCGGGTACCCCAAATAAAATCGCCAAAAATATCCATGCTGCAAACAGCAGAGGCTGTTGCAATTCCCCTCAAACAACCAGTCTTCTATGTTCAAAAAAGAGCAAGTCCAGCTAGCCACTACTACTGCCCTGGTTGGCCTTCAGTAGAAACTATAAACTCATGAATTTGTAATATTATCTTTCCTAATTTTTTCTGACATTCAGTTTATTTTTATGTTGATGCAATTGAGCTGTAATCTATCAATGTGATTATTGATTCGATGTTATTTAAACAACGACATTAATGTTGTTCATAACACTAATTCATTTATTCACTATAACGTATATATATAACTATGGAACCTGATGATGAAGTTATCGAAAATGTGAATATTCTTTGTTCAGTATCCATTCTTTTAAAAACAAAAAAAAAACAGGATGAAATGGCGATGTGCTGTTGTAGCCCATTGTGTTCCATTGAAAACCCAAAGGAATAATAATAATCTACTTGATTCTCAATCGCAGTTGTGCGACTGACTGCTTGATTATTTTAGTTACTTGTGTGGTGAGAGCAGGCTGCTAGCCGATTGGTTGGCACTAATCCACGTTAAGGTCTAGGTCACTAATATGGGCCGTGAGAAAATATGAACAAGCCTGAGTCAACAACCAATCACAGCAAAGTTAACGTGGCAAAATATGATTCGCAGATAGAGAACTCTATTTGTCAAGGAATCCCGAAACAACCAATCAGAAGCCTGCGTTTGTCTACCTAAACAACCAATCAGATGACTGCGCTTGTCTATAATAATGTTGTCTGAAATATGTATAAATACGTGTTGATTTTCATAATAAAACGATCTGTTGCCTGGCCCTCGTCTTCTGTTGTTACACTTGAATTTCTTGGGGGGATTTCTGAATGGTTTTATTGGATATCCTCGCTTAATGTGTAGTGTCGTAGTCTGTTGCTATAGTGGTTTAATAACAAATTATACTATTTATAGGCTTTTAAAATGAAATTTTGCATTAGAAAAATTGGTTTTCTGGAGTACGTAATATCGATAGAATGCTCGCCAACCACGCTTCATGTGGTCCGAGGTTCGACTCTCGACCACAGATCCAATCCTTTACCTCGGTAAGCTGATAATAAGACCGGTAAAGGGGGAAGGTTAAGCATGAGGCTAGCGACCCCATCCCGTAAAAATAAACACGAGCCGCTTGTTTGAAGATCTCTGTGTTCAATTGGAAACGTAAAGGAATTGAAAAAACAAACAAAATTAAACCAGACAAACATGGCTGAGGATAACTTGACCAAGGCTGAGGCTTTGTCCAAGCACTTTAGTCAAGTATTCTCTGATAATATTGATACCAGCTTTGTAAATTTTCCAAAAGGTAACTTGAAAATGGCACCCTTATACATTGGAAAGGATACTGTCCTAAAGTGGCTTCTAAGGCTCAATCCTGGTAAGTCCAGTGGCCCTGATGAACTCCACCCACGTATATTAACAGCATTGGCTGAAAGCATAGCCGAGCCATTGTCGGTAATCTTCAATATGTCTCTGGACCAGTCTAAATGTCCAAGAGACTGGAAAGATGCCATCATTAGTCCGGTCTTCAAAACCGGATCTAGAAACTTAGTTCAGAACTATCGTCCTGTTAGTTTGACCAGTATTGTTGTTAAACTACTAGAAAGAATAATTCGTGATGCTATCATTCAGTTCATTGAAGGGAACAAACTTTTCGCTGTGGAACAGCACGGTTTTAGAGCAGGTCATTCTTGCTTGACCAACCTTCTTTTGGCCAGAGAAAGTTGGGCAAGCTCAGCTGATGCTAATATACCGGTGGATGCCATATTCATAGACCTTAGCAAGGCGTTTGACAGGGTTTCTCATTCAGGTCTTCTAGTAAAGTTAGGTAGTCTGGGAATCAATAAAGTGGTTACCGACTGGATTCAAGACTTTCTAAAGGACAGAAGACAAAGAGTACGAGTTAACGGGGTTTTATCAACATGGGAATCGGTTAAGAGTGGCGTTCCTCAGGGTACAATTCTAGGCCCACTTCTTTTCCTGATTTATGTTAATGAGATTCCATCGGTAGTTAAGTCATCCTGCTTACTGTTTGCTGATGACATCAAGATATGGAGGGCTTTGCACGATGACAGTGATCAACTTGCTTTGCAGGAAGATTTAAACTTGTTAAGTGATTGGTGTAAGCACTGGGCCTTGGAGATTAACTTAAGCAAGAGTGTAGTTATGCATGTATCCCATAGTCACGTGCACAATTACTCAATGAATGGCATTACTCTCCCAGTGGTCACTGAGTACAAGGACTTGGGAGTGGTTGTGCAGCATGACTTGAAAACAGCAACAAACTGTAGAACTGCAGCCACTAAGGGTTTTCGAATGTTATGGGCCATACGCAAGGCTTTTGCGAACTTTGACGCTGATATATTTCGTATATTATATCCGACTTATATCAGACCTCATTTGGAATATGGGATCCAGGCAGCGAGCCCGTGTTTCAAATACGAAATTGACTTATTAGAAAGGGTGCAAAGAGTAGGAACTAAGCTAATAAAGGGTTTCTCAACCCTGTCATATGAGGAGAGGTTAAGTCGACTGGGTTTATTTCCACTGTCATACAGACGACTTAGGGGTGACCTAATACTAGCATACCGTATCCTAAGAAATGATTTTGGAGCTAATTTATCTAAATTATTTCTTCCTTCTAGCACCAACCAATTGCGAGGACATCACCTCAAGGTTCAAAAACCACGGTCGAATCGTCTGCGTCTGGAAATCCGTTTTTCGCATCGAATTGTGAACCATTGGAACTCCCTACCGGAACATGTCGTATCAGCGCCATCCGTTGATTCATTCAAGGCGAGATTGGACCTCCTGTATGAAATAAATCGAAAGGATTAACACAGGCATATAGCCTACTATCCTAAATAAATTGTAAACTGTAAACTGTATAATATCGGTGGCTTAATTTACTTGAACTGCATTACATTTGCTGCATTTTTATCAGAAAATGTCAGCTGATACTGATATCTACGAAATGCAATCGATTTAATGAGACAGTAACTTCAAAAGTTAAACGTATATCAGTGAATTTTAATGAAATCATACTGCTATATTTTGGTGTCTTCATTGAAATACCCTAATACCCACAGGATAAAG